CCAGTTCTGCTTTCTCGAGCTATCGTGTAAACCACACGGTGGGGCTGCATTATCTTTTCCTGATGAACTGCTGTGGTAAAAGGAATTCGTTTCCTTAGGTGTCTCGGAGGCCTCTGAACATGCACAGGAAGGGGGCAGTTAGCTTAAGGAGTTTTATTGGCCCTGTTGAAAACATGACCAAACGCAGCATGAGTCAGGACTGAGTGGCTGGAGGAGGATGGTGTCCGACTGTCTTGGCTGCTGGAGGAACTGCTTGTGTGCCGCCTTCCTTAATTGCCATTATCCTTCGATTTGTTTTCCCTAAGTAACAGATGTAAGTGCTCCAACACGATTCTTGTCCAGAAGAGTCACAATTCTAAGTTAATGATTTGATTTTAAGCTATCTAATGTATTAAGAAGAAAATGAACATAGTACAGGTAGTACTGCATCATACTGTTGATATGACTTTTAGCCCGTACCAGTTAGCCTATACTTAGGCTGGCGAAAAGCTCAGAGATCACAGTGTTGACGAGAGCATAGGTGTTAAGAGTATTGCAGGGGATACTTTTTGTGTTTATCTTCAAGTCAAAATTATTTTGTTAGTAACTTTTCTCTTGTTTGTTAGTACGTTATTACCCCTATGGTATCAGCGTTAGGCATTCAGCGTGAATAGATCTAGAATAGCACGTTATAGGAGGCTTTGAAGTGTTTTTTGCCAAATACGTTCCTGCAGTTCTTTCAGTCGGTCATCATACTGTCTCCAGCGTTAGAGGTTTTAAATGGCTTGTGGCCGGTTATAATTCCTTCCGTATTGCAGAAGATTTGCATGGCTTCATGTGCTGAAAGCTGAGTGCGAAGTATTTTGGGGTATTGAAACTCCCTAGGTGTCCATCACATTAACTATTCAATTTCAGGATACTTGGAAGGAAGCTGGCAATGTTGGTTAAAATAAATTCATTTTTAGGAAAATTACAACTGTGGTGGGATCTGTATACTATTTACAAGTTTTTCTCGCAAGCAAATATTTGTTAACCTTTCACTACATAGCAGATGAATAACATTCAAAGTAGTACTCCTTCAAAGTTAAAATCAGCATTTGACTGAAAAATGAAATATACTGAGATAAGATGCACAACTCCTGTTTTCTCATGACTCATTGTGCGTGACTCATGGCAGAGTATTCCATTTCCCAATGGCAAAGATAGATGCATCTTTCTTAATTGAAGCAACTCTCCTTAATCTTTGAGAAGCTGAGCTCATTACTCACTGAGTGCAATTCTGATGCTTCTGCGCGGCATCATAAGGTATGCATTTCCAAAATTACAGAAGATACTACAAATCAGAGGCTTGATTAGCTGTGCTGAGAGTATGGGACCTCAAATTGAGAGAATTCTGGAAATTGGCATTTTACATCATAAAAGGGGACTTTTGGCTTCCTTTTATAGACTGAGGAGACCTACCAGTTACTGCCATAGTGGTAGTCACACTCCTTCTACAAGGAAGTGTTAAGGATCTTGTGGCATTTCTTATGAAAGTTGTATTTTGCCCGTTGCCAGTAGACAAAAGCGTCACCTCATGCTTGGTGCTATACAGTGTGCTTGCTGTCTACATACAAAGTGAGTTCTTCTGTCTTTTTTGAGTGTGTTTTATTTTTTAGGTCCATATATATGGTGCTTTTACATTTTATTTTTTTTTCAGCATGTAAAGCACGGTGTGCACATATGCCTCGGCAGGATGATGACCGATAGAATAAGTGTGTTTCACATGTACGTATTCTTGTGTAGTAGTATGGCACAAGTAAAGGAGGGTGTCTGAGTGAGATGGAGCTGTTATTCCAACATGTTGCAGTTGCTTCTGTAAATCCCCACTTACTGAAATGCAAAATTACACCTTTATCCACATATACTAGTGTAAGATAGTGTAATGACTGCCTTCGGTACATTTGAGGGTAATTTGTCATGCCTTCTGCATATCGCTTGAAAAGGCAAATCTGGTAGTTGTTCAGTAGTGGCTTCTGCAAACTCTACAAGTAGCGATGAGGTCATCAATCATGTGAATTCTTTCATATGTTTTGAAAGAAAAGGCCACTTTAGGCAAAGCATAAATGCAACCATATGCCCATACTGTGGAGTCTTCACTGAAATTTGACAATGAAATTGCTATGCATATGATTTCTTTTCTGAACAAGCAAAAACTGCTTTTAGAGCTATAGTATAGCAGCAATTAACTTGCTGGTTTTTTTTCTAGTTAGTGTAAAAATACTTACCGAGTACAAAATTGGTAGCTAGATTGGTATACATAAGGTTTTGGTAGCTCTTTAAGAGAGTGCATGCCTTTGTTTCCATTTAGAAGAAAGAGGCAGCAGTTAAAACAAAGAGAGATCTTGTTACAGTGTGTTCAATAGGACAAAAGTATGCAAAGTGGAGCTGTTATCTTTTTGTTAATCTTGGTACAACTCTTAAATTAGTGTGGAAGTATCTATTTAGAATTGTTGAACAACCATTTTGTATTAAGAAAAATCTTTACAGCACAATTTACTTTTCTGTTGAAGAAAAAAACAAAGTGTGGACTTTCCCTCGTTAACTTTTCCACAGTGATGTTGATAGTCAAAGCTGAATGATTTGTCTTTCGGAAATAATGTGAAAATCTCAATTAGATACCGTCTCCCAATATTTTGCATCTCTAGAAAGAGGGCAGTTTGCAGAAGTTGCTTCAGGGACTGAAAGGAATGCACCCTTCAGCGCTTAAAATCTTTAGCACTGTATGTGATTACAGCTGTTTGTTTTAGTGCGATTCCTCAGAAAGATTACTGAGAAATCTGTGGGTTTGTGCACTAGCGGTGATGTTGGTTGTCGTGTTCAGAGTTCTGCATGTAGGAAAGGCAGATGGTTTCCTTCAGAGTATGACCAGTGCAGATAGAACGGAGCAAGAGGATCGTCTCGCTCCTGAATATCTAAAATGCAACCAACAGTAGTACTGGATCCGTGAATGTAGTAGGTAGCAATTGTCATATTTAAAATAGGGTGTTTCCAAAACAATCATGGCAATACAGCCATTAAAGAAAGTGCAGGAGGGAATTGTCTTCTCTGGAAACATGCTGATTACTAGAGGGATGTATTGAATGAACTCTCTGTGCGTCAGAATGGGATCATTGGACATGGAAGGAGAACGCCACTTTAAATTGGTGTTTAAATAGGAGAAGGAAGCAACAGTTCTGTGTTCAGGTGAAGCTAACCAGTTGCACCAGGAGCATAAAATTAGGCAGACGAGAAGAATGGTAGACAAAGGAGGAAGAAGCAAATAGAGAAGGACAAGCCTAAATCGGAGAAAATGCTGTTGGCAGTACATGTCAGAGGGTTTGGGAGTTGACAGACTCTGCTCGATTGCCATTTCGTACGGAAGCGAACAAGCAGGACGCCGTGAGCTGGGGTAACAGCCTTGCTGGCGGGAAGGCTTCCTCTGTGTCAGTAAATATGACTCAGAACAGCCCGGGGACCACCTGAGAGCAGCACTCGTGTAAACGTTAGTCACAGTTTAGCTGAAGTACTCGTATTGTTCACTGTGATCGTGGTAGTTGCTCAAACTGCATATTTCAGTGGTACAACTGTCTGCATGAAGTCTGTTCCCACCTCTTTCAACAAAACACGAGAAGCCTTTCAAAGGAGGGAAGCGGTCACTTGTTCTACATTTTTTGGAGGGAGTTTTTTTGAAGCCCTGAATGTGGCAGGTTTATTGCAACCAGTGAAACTAATGGAGCTACACCAAATAATGCTTGTGTGGTGATGACATCCACCAGCTGAGAAGGTGGCCCTGGTACTGCTTGGGTCGCATGGTAGTTACAGGCCAGGGTCTCAGCTTTTCACTCTGTAAATGTTACATAAAACTATCGATACTAAAAGGTCTTAAAAAAACAACTAGCATATATTAGATATTCCCAGAATCAAAGTAGTGCTTTAAAATTTAAGTGTATCAATATTTTTAAGTATTTACCTGCAGCATTTGTGTGTGCTACTTGAAAGTAGCCTGCGTGTGTGCAGGTGGAGAAGGTAGGCAGCAGTGTCTTTTGCTGCGACTGATATTACTATGACTGACCGTCGTTAATTTCCTCTTTCAAATGCCATCAACTCAAACTGTTTAACAAAATAATTTATTTAAAGGCGAACTTACGTTACTTTTTTAATACAGCAGTGCAGTCGTAAGTACCAGAATTTTCTCAAATTTTGTATTATTGCTAACTTTACAAAGAAAAAAAAACCACCATATGCTGCAGTAAAACCCCAGCTTTTAAGAAGTGTTAAAATGTGCGTCTGTCTATAGATTAAATTGTGCTAGTGTGTTATCGTGTTACAAGTCTCTGTGTTCCAGAAAAAGCTAAAGTAAATGTTTCCCATGTGAAAATATCGAGGGGAGATTTATTTGGAAATGATGTAAAATGCTCTGCCAGCTTGCATTGTAGCCTTTCTCACCAAAATGTTGATCCTGAAAACATTTACAGAAAACGTTCACAGAAGGCAACTTCACAGGAAAGAAAATGTGTTTCGGAAGAGAAGACACAAAATTGTTGCCTAACTATTCTGAAAATCTCCTGCTGATTGTTAAAGTGATGTTGAGAAGCGTTTCAGCCTGGCTGGAGGAGAGCCTCTGAGGCAGCCTGTGTGTGCATGTGTGCACGCGTGTGCGTGTGTGCACACTCACTCCGGAGAGTGCCAGCCTTGCCTGCCCCCAGCCTGGTTGGAGAGGCAGAGCCAGAGCTCTGTGCCCCTCCAGAGAGGAGATGGTGCCTGCCTGCTGGGTCCACAGCCCTCCTCTAAGATTCCTGTTGGTTCTGGGGGGTTGCTGAATTGAGGGGGAAAGAATGATTTTGATGTTGAAAATGAACGCGTTGGTTACTGCTTGAAATATAAAGTTTCTGCCTGAGAGTTGGTTATGGTCTTAGTCATGTTAATACGCTGAAGAAGTGAACTAAACTGATAACTTCTAAATCATGTTTTTGATCCTCAATATGTGTTTATTAATGCAGGCAAGAAGACAACAAGACCCTAGTCCTGGTTCTAACCTAGGAAGTGGCGATGATCTCAAACTACGTTAATCAACAGCAGCAGGCGTACCATGGGGCTGCACACGTGCATTGCTTCTACTTGGCAAAGGATTTAATAAAAGACCAGAAACTGTGATAACTGGGTATACTATGGTCTGTTTCCTGACCTGCGGCAGTCAGAATCACCATGAACTGCCATGGTTTGCACTATGTTTATGTTACAATACCTGCATTTCCTATTTTAAGCATGTAGCCAGTGGCAATTTGAAATTTTGTTTTTCTATGCAAACTTATTTTTGTTGGCACTATTTTAGTGAAATGGAAACTTATGCAGCTATGAAACCATTTTTCTCAACTGTAATAAAAATTGTCACTTAAAAATAGGTCAAGATATTACAGATTTAAAACTTCTTTTTTGTTTTTTTTTAATTTTTTTTTGTAAACTGCTGGAAGCCAATGCATTCCAAGCTTAATTTTTTTAATATGAGCTTTTGGAATTTTGATTGTCCTTATTGTGCTCCTGCTTTATTTTAGATACGCATTCTTATCTTTCTTTCAGTTTTCTTTTTTTCTGAATTTGCAAGACCTTCTTAAAACTGCTGACATTATTTTGCATTATTTCCAAGCTAAACCCAGTGAATCAGAGCTGTTGGAATCAGTTTTCAAACTTTGTAGGTTTGTAAATGTTACAGTTGCAGTATTCTTTTAACTGCTAATAATTAATTGGTTCCACTTTTTAAATGATAAAATCTTTAAAATGTATATTTTCATGCGTTGATGCATTCTGCCCCGGTATCTGTCTCGGTTTTTATTCTGTCTCAAGTGAGTTTAGGTGGTTATTATACCCCTGTATATAGTACTTTACTGAAACTCATAGGAAGTCGCAGGCTGGCTTCTGTTTTATTCAGGGATTTTTTTAAATAGTTCTTAAAAAAGGGGTACTGCAACTCTCCAATCAGATTCAACAGCGTGTTAAACTGGGAACAAAAGTGATCAGCTGCCAAGGTGATATGTATTAAATCATGTTTAAGATAGCTGCTTTAAGTATATTTTATATCTTAGGCTTTTTGTAAAGTTGTGCTGAATGGTGAAAATTTGAGATGAGGTTGTGTGCAGAAAATCTCATACTGTGCATAGGACACTTCCATTAAATCTTATGCAAATTAAGACTACATTGCAGTATGTATTGCATTTTCTAACAGGGTAAGATTTGGGATGAGTTAATCTGCGTGAATTATTTGGTTTTATTCGGGGTGATGGTGAACGGACTTGTTCCAAATTTTTCATTGCATCTAATTTTTAAAGAAAATTGATTGGAGATGTGATGTCATTTGGCTTTGTTAAAATGTGGTGCTTCCTGTACAGCCTGATTAATTAAAATGTCACTTAGATACCTTTTTAAAAAAAAGTGATCTGACTTCAGTATTTTAAGAATTATTTTGGAGGTAGAAACTCTGTATGGTTAGAACAGTGAAACTTTATTAAATTCTATAATTGCTCATTAATGGCAAAACAATTGATGCAAAAGAGGTCTTGCAAAAATGTAAGCAGATGTCAATGTGAAGGAGAATCTTTGTATGTTAATAATATGAATATTTAACATTCACTTAAAAATGTCAATAACTGTAAACTGTGAGAATGTCATCAAATAGAAATATTTTGATACTTCAATTTAAATGTGATGCACCTGAAAGATAACCTTTTTCATTCTGTGGCCACGTATTCCTCTTGCTCTTCTTCCCCCAAAGAAGTAATTTTTCTAAGGTGTTTCTGCAATGAGTTATGTAAGGGACACACGCATGCATCCGCACGCATCCCTAGCCTTGGATCTTCTCTGCCATCTGTGTATTTTTGATGGAATAGTCTGAAGATTTATTTTAAAAGGTTTTCCTAACGTTTCAGACAGTGGTTTTAAACCATAAGTACACAGGAAATTACGCTATCAGATATTAACGTTGCTATCTTTGTGTAAATACTGAACTTTCCCTATCATCATTTAGCATTCTGCTGCTTTTCGATATCTTAATGCTGGCATTAAGATCACAAGCCCTTACCCTCTGCTGGTTAGTGCAGACTTTTTAAAGTGCATTTTAAGTTATTGATGCAATTTGATATTTTTCGTAATTTCTATTTAAACTGAAGTTGCATCATCTTTCTTGAATTCATCTCCTGTAAGAGTTGCCTTAAGCTACAGGATTGCTTTTGCTACTTTTTGTGTTGTATGTTTAACTTTCATAATAAACTTCTGTGTAGTGAAAACAAGTCGCTGTAAATTTATTTCTGACGTATCCTGGTAGTCCACGCCGACATGTTCCGTGTTTATGGGGTAACTTCCCAACCAGCCGGCGGAAGGCTGCCTTGATGTCCGTGGTTAAAGCAATAGTGACATCCAGTGGGCACGTAACCCACCCGAACACCCCCCCGCCCCGGGTTTAGAGACTGGGGAAAAGGTGGATTTTGCTGCCCTAAAACTGATGGGTTTTGTAACTGATATGCCCTGCTTACGCTGAAAGCCTGCGTCCACTTCAGTCGTCCTAAGGAGTTTTGTCTCACTGGGCTGTAACAGTTGTGCGCACTTATAGAAGAGTGTTGTTCGTGGGCACGTTTTTATAGCAACCATTAAACCTTGCAGATTGTGCTGCTGCTTTTTTTGAGGAGGAAAACGAGGTAGTTTACATGTTGAAATTCAGGAAATGGGGAAATAAGGTACTGTGGGGAAAATATGAATGTTACGTGCTACACCTGAACACCTCTTCTGAAGCTGCAAAAATTGTAGGTGGTGTAACTTCAAGTATCTAACTTTGAATGCCAGTGGTGGTTATGTACCAAAACCATGTAGAGGACGGCTTGCTTCGTAACTTGAGACCTGCAGTTGGCTTTGGAAGGGCTTACGTGCAAAAGGACGAAGTATAACCTTATTTCATACTTTTAAATTAAATCTGACTGTAAACAGATCAGAGAGCGCCTAATAAAACCGGCGTTGACTCTGTGACCTGTGGTTCTTCTGAAGATAGTCCGTAGGTTGGAAGGGAGGCCGCTTTTACAAACTATGTCGCTCTGATTCCGTGTTTCTGAGGGCAGGAACCTCCTGTAGACCCTGCCATCAAAGCAGCTCATTTTGAAAGGCATCTTGAAAGAGCACTTAGCGAAGCCGTTAGATAACTCGTTGGTTTACCTGCAAGTTCATGGAGTGATTCACTTTTCTGCCCGAGGTGCATGACAAGTGGATGAGTGCCTTATTCGTAAAACCTTCTCTTGAGGGATGGCATCTAAAGGACAGAGGGACTTTGTCCCCTGATGCCTCTTAGGTTGAATTTGCCTCTTGGGTGCAGGAATAGCAGAGGGAATCTGAAAAATTTCCTGCATGTGAAGCACCTCCAGCAGAAGATTTTTAAAACGTTACAGTCCTTTCCCTCCATTAGCGTGACTTGGGGATGGCTGGGTTCGGTTTGAGAGTGAAAGACCACTGGGAACACTGGAGGTTACTGGAATGGAGGGGGATGTCGGTGAGCTGGAGCAGGTGAGGTAGGGTTGCTTTTTTAACCTTTTGCAGTTACACGGCTTCTTCCTAACCCGAGAGAATCCAGAGTATTAAGTGTTCAGTCCGTTTTACTGACGGTTTCAAAACCTGAAGGAGGAGATTCCCTGGTCTCTCTTGAAGGAAAAGGCAGCTTTCAGCTCTCCTGGCCTGGGCTCTGGGTCCCCCTTTTCAAAGCAGGAAACTATGAAAATGAAACTGGGGTGACAACAGCAGCTTTTCTGTTCCTGTGGGCCTGTGGTGGTTTGTCTAATACTAAGCCTTGTTCAGGTAAGGGCTGGGAAGTTAAATGAAGGAGATGTGGGTTTAGAGAACTCCAAAATTGCCTGGCCTGACAGAGTCTTGGCAGGACTTCCATTTTTTTGGTTTTTTGTTTTTGTTTTTTGGGGTTTTTTTGCCCGCTGTTGGTTCAGGACTCCGCTCCGTTACAGATGTATGTAGGAATCCACCCTGTCTGCATAGAAATAGGACCGATTTCTGTGAAGTTACAGGATTTTGTTACTGCATTTCCAATGCAAATCAGAGAATGACAAAAATGGCTTCGAGGATGAGAATTACAGTGAGAAGTCAGAGCGGAGCGACGATTTGCATAGGCACCATTTCTCATAACTCATTTGCCTGACATCCTGTCTTCACACGGCCACGAAATGTAAATCCCAGCACATGCATATTCATCGGCCGCTGCACGCCTCGGAGCTGCTCAGGGTTTAAGTAACTTTATTAAACAGCTTTCTCAATTACAGCTTGAAAGAAGTGAATTCCCCAAATTGCCTTGGGCTCATTGCTTAAAAGCTCAGGGGTGAGGGGAAAGAAGTAACGCAGAAGAGCCGAGCGGTGCCTCGGCCGCTGCTGTCGCCCAGCGTGGGTGGCTGTGGAAAAACCGGGTACCTGTAGGAGAGGAAGAAGCGGGAAACGGGAATGTTTCCCGCTCAGCTGTAGGCTTCTTACTGGGCCTGGGCCACGGTTTGTCACAGCGGGTGAGGCTTTTGCTAAGTCTTTGTTACTCCCCGCAGCTTTTCTGATGAGTAACTCAGTGTTTTCCAGCCTGTTGGACTCGACGATGGTGTCTTGGGGGATGCGGGTTTTCCCAGTGCTCCGCTTTCCCTCCTTCCACAGGCTGTCACTCTCCGTTTTGCAAGGGAACTGGTGGCCTTACCGCCTTTCACCCTTTGCAATCCTCTCTCTTCCCCATAGCAGGTGATGGCTTAGCATGAAAACAGAAAAAAACACCTAGAGCTAGAGAGAAGTTTGCACCTGAAAGCTCCAGTCTTTTCCAGCTGTTACCTGCCGGTTTGCTGGGAGAGGCAAAACCTTGCCCGCTTGCGTCCCCCAACCCTTTCAGCTTTTGCTATTCGTACCGTGCAAAAATCCGGCAAAGTGTAGGCATAAAAGGTGTTAGAGAACTAAAACTTTGTGGCTGCTGAATGCGCTTGGCCTTGATAGCTTCTTAGGTGAATCTGCTGTTAGCGAAGGAGGTGGCTGGGCTGCTAGTGCTGCTGCTGGGATAGACCAGGAATATTTGGGCTGCTGCTGGGATACACCAGGAATATTTCAGGGCTTTGGCGCTTGGCAGCGGTGATGCAGGTCACGGCTCTTCAGGCCGTGCTCCTTGGGGAGGTCTCGGATGTGAAGAGCCGAGGTCGGTACGGAGGGAAGTAAGCCGGTTCGTGGAAGAAGCTGCGTGAAGGTGGATTTAACCGCAGAGGTCGGGCGGTAAGGCTTTGCCTTCGGGAAGTGAGGAGGTCCCCAAGCACATCAGGTTGGAAGAGAAAAGGGGAGTGAATGGGGGGGAAGGGGGGGACCGGCCAGGGCAGGCGTTACTGGCGCTGACCGCTTCCTTCGTTCTTGCAGGCACTGTTGTGTTTGCCCTCGCTTCGGGTTGGCCAAAGTGGTTGTGGCTCTTGGCTTGAGCCTTGAGGAGAAGAGGGGACATGTGGTACTGAGGGCTCATAGTTAGCGCAGCGGTTCCGAGTCCCGATTAGTGGATTTATCCTAGTCTACCAATTCGGTGAGAGAAGCGGGAGGGATGTCCCTCTGTACGAGCAAGGATGCCGGTGTCTGAACCCCCTGCATCCCGTGTGAGCCCATTTTCTGACCCACCTGCCTCCTCTGCCTTCGGCTGGAGATACCATCTCAAGTCCTCCTCCTCCTCCTCCTGCTGCCGTGGCGTTGAGCCCTTTGCAGAGCTATATTTAGGTCTTGTTTCTACTCATATATCATAAAGCCTTGCAGGAGGTGGGTCTGAGAGGTGAGCGATGCTCACCAGGTTCCCACCAGGCAGCGGAGCTGCTGCTTGGGCGAGCGCTGCTGGATGGCGACAGCGTCCCTGCTCGAAGGCATCTTCCTACCCGAGTTCCTCTGGGGTGGTTGGGTGTTCGGTGGCATTTGATGGCCAGAAGT